AAACCATTGTATGGGCACTATACGCATTCATTACGCTACAGCGAATGGAAGTCGGATGAAGAGGCGCATACCTTACAAGGGAAGGAGACTTGGTCGCAGTGGCCATTCAAGATGAGACGTATACCCCTGTAGGTGGTTTCGAATGCTGATCTCAAATCTGTTTCCGAAATCTGCGGAATGACTGTGGGAACAAAGTTACGGGACCATTTCCCCCTGTGTTATACCACTAAAATGGACGGATCACCTAGCCGAGCAAAGCCCTTACCTGTGCAAAGGTTGCTTAGCTCCAAACGCTTGCAAAACGTTTTTGGGCGCAATGTTGGGCATCTACAAGGCTCCCTCACAATTTAAGATCACTGAAAAAGTATTTTAGGGAAGTTTTTGTTGTCCCTCACCGGCCAAATAAGGGTGGGATCCAGCTCCAGCAAAAGAAGTATTCCAAACATTTGCTCAAAATGGGCTCAAGAGGCTTCAAGGAGAAAGGATCCAAATGATTTGTCTGATCAAACGCTCTTGGACATGTTACCTGCGAATCTTCTGGCCGGATGTGGTGTCATCGTATTTGATGGAGGACATATGTACGTTCTTGCAGCATTATGTGGGCACCATTTAGGGAGAGGCGGTAATGAAAACCTTTCGAACCGTACTTACCGATGCTATGAAAACAAAGCCCGTAGTTCCTTCCGAGGAAATCGAGTCCGTGAAACGCGATCACAATGATCCTCTGCGGTCACCTGATGACAACAGCGACGATAGACCCGTAAGAATCTCAGTACGTTTGTGGGGATATACACGTTCGGAAGTGTAACGTAGCCTTCGAGTTTGTGATCTGGCCAATGAGCTCCAATTTTGTGGCGCTAGTAGAAGAGTCCAGAGCCTTCTTAGTTCGAGTGTCAAAAGAAGCCGTACCTCTTGGAACATGAGAACACTTGTGTATCATCACGACAGAGTGCCTTCTACGGGAATTGAAAGAGCATGAGCTTTCGCTTAGTCCATTATTGACAACTCATGGTGTCTTATGTGGCCACAACTATCAAGTGCAAAACAAGTTGGAAGGTTAAGTCATCATAAAGTTATTATAATATAGGAGTCTCATTGCATGAAAGTCATTTCCACTTGATACCGCTTCAGATCAACAATGAAGCCCGTAGGGGACAACTTCAAAGCAAGTCGTAGGTGGATTCAGGGTTTCGATTACAGCCGTGGTATCATGTCCCACCGCACCACCACGTTTGACCCATTGAACGGCCTCTTGAAAGAGCGGTTACATCAAGAATAGAATTAGCGGATAATCATATGTACACTCAAAGCGATAAACAATTGTTCTGCAGTATTTCTTCAACAATGCCAGTTAACTTGCACCACCGCTTCAGAAGCGCGAACAGTATTCCTAGAATGTGTGACCGTATCCTTCCCAAAGATGGCCGTGGTCCGATGAGTCATTCGACCGCCGTCTACCGTAAGTGCAGGGAGCTGCCGAAGATTTCGAAACACCATCTTGACTGTTCGGGATAGAGTGGCGTACTTGTATACTTGATCAGTAGCAATAAAATTTTTTATTGGATTTCCATTCCCCGGAATCCTAAATTCTGAGGGAGCTCTGTGCGAATTTGAGTCCAAAAAAGCTTTGCAAACCTTTAGGGCGCATTTCATGGAAAAGCAAAACGAGCGCTTGCATCAAGGAATGGAACTTTGATGTCATGCCTACCAGTTCACCGTCCTAACAGCTGCGCCACCGTTGCACAGGTACGGCTTTGCTCGGCCCGGTGATCCGTTCGGTGCAATGGTATAACACAGGGAGGCATCAGCCCCGTAACTTTGTTCCCAGAATCTTTTAGCAGATTTGGACCGCAGATTTGGGATCAGCGTTCGAAACCGGTGTTGTATACATTTCCTCTTGAATGGCCACTGCGACCGTCCCTCCCTTGTCAGACGGGAGTGATTAACGCCCCAAATTTTTCCCTTTGTCCTCCATTTGGAGGAGGCTTTGAAACAGAAGCATCCCTGAGCGAATAGGCTGCTCCTACTCAAAACACAAAGATACTTCGTGAGCTATACAGCTGCTTCACGTACAGGACTCAGCCATCCTACAAGGAAGCATTATCCACATGAGGACAAGGGTTCGGCATGACGATACAATTTCGCCCATACGTGTCAGTGCCGCTCTCGAGAATATCATGCTTCAATCAGAATGGGAAGACTTGGGAGTGAAGTGAAGAAGTGACGGCCGCTGCTCCAGCTCTGCTTTGCAGGCGATATGCTGCTTACAACACCGAACATCGAATAGGCGGGACGAATGCTGACCGAATTCAACAGCGTTCAGCAAGATCAGCTTAGGGTGAACGTAACGAAGACGATGTCCATGGGAAGCGGATTCACACCTGATGTTTACTGTGCGCCGAACGGAACGAATATCTTCGAATGCAATACCAGTTGTATTTGGGGCGAGAACTAACATGATGAACGACTTACAACTACCATTAGTTTGTGGTCAATCAACGGTTTGCGACAGATCAATTCGTTCGCGATGGATCGAACTGTCACGAATCGTCGCTTCGCCACACGTTTTGGTAAGTACCCCAATCAAGTTGGAAGTAAGATCAGCGGGAAGCTCTACTCGTGAAGAATCTAGGTATATAGTGAATTTTCGGTTTTCTCGAATTTTTCGGTCTTCATTTCTTTCATCCTTCATTTCCAGGAACAATGAAAATTGAGTCTCTCAGCCCCTGTAATGTTACTTGTGGACGTGATACCATCGTAAACCCTCCAAGCCCTTCAATTACAAACTGCCCCCTCAGCTCTTAAGAGATATTAAGAGATATGAATGGCACAATGTTCGAGGTCCTGATAACATCCTGTTCATCTTGATATCCTTCATAACATAATTCGAGCACATTCAGCTGAAAACAATGCTTTCAATTACCGGTTTTTCAGACATTTTTTCTTCTTCCCGGCCATCTATCTTGAATTCTGAATTCTTGATGCATGCTATCTTGAATGGAAAGCCAATGTATAGCTTTAACGTAGCTCACAGAGAATCCAAGCATATATCGTGCTTTTAGTTTTCCTCACTTTTGCAAATTCATTATCACGAGAGTAGAAAAATGAACCTTTGGAACCTGGAGTGTTACTTGCAAATTTGACATCATCGTAAACCCTCCACTTCAATTGAAAATTTCGTTTTCATCCTTTGAAAAGCGTGTATGGCGCTATATTCGAGAACATACGATCGTGTTTATTTTCATATCCTTCATGAGAGAATTGGTCAGCTGAAAACATGGACTTGATTTGCCAGTTTTTCGAGTTTGCCAGTTGATTCCAGAGATGCATTTCATCAGAAACGAGTGGTCTCGCACTCACGCAAGCCCTCGGTTATGTGAGCCCTACGAGGGGTACATGCTAGCTCGTCGCGGGTATGTGGGTCAACACAAATTATCATTTCAAAGTTTATATTACCTTTCGAGATCGATTCCGACTTTTCCATTTTTCGATCATATTAATTCACGATTGCTTCCAACGTTGATCAGCCATGATGTGGCCTAAAAACGGCTCAAACTAAAAAGTTTCCGTCTTTTTGTTTATTCAAAATCGTTTCCGAATAGTTAAGTAAGACTGCGTATTCAAAAAAAGATCAGATGTGTCTACAGGTAAACTGATTTGTCTGGGGCATAGTAGTTCTATAGTCGTAATAGTTGTGCTGTACTTTATTAATTGCACTGGAATGAGCGATGTAAGACCGCGTTGGTAGATGGCTGAGCTGCCTTCTAACTGAAGTTTGAGTTAATTGAACTCCCGTTTCACTATTGATTTCTATTGGCCCGTCGCTCTCGCTATTGCCGTGCCCATACAAGAGCACACTAACAAGGAAGGCCTTTCAGGGCGTGGGACTCTTTTTGAAAATGGTTTTTCGCGTCGTGTTGGGGCATGAGCACTGAATACAGATCTATGATCCATTTCCGCTTAATGACCCCTTGAATGCCAAAAATGGAGTGAAAATGATTTTGTCAGAAATAGCCGTTTCAACCCACTAAGCGCCGTTTGTCTAATTCATGGCGTCAACTGCCCGCTCAGTAGAAGGCGCCAGTGGACTACGCATTGAAAATAACGTGAACGGGAGCCAAAAAAGGGAGCCACATGTTGGGAAAAAACGGGGAAGTTTCATATGTGCTCTCCACGGTTTAGATGTTAGCAGCGACGGATGGTGTGGTAGATAGCGATGAGGACTACGAGTTCGGACGGCTAGGCTGGGTTGATGGTTCCGATCCCCGGGGCTTTTTTTGCATTTTATGCTGCCACCTCCAGATTGGCTATACATATATGCAATATGTCCACACCAGCTTATATAATATTAGCTGGTGTGAACAATGTTTTCTTGACAAAATGAAGTAACCGAAAGGAAAAACAGCAAAATCTTATTCTTCGGCTGAAATTTGCCTGGACGCTTTTGGAAGGGTATCTAAACGATTGGTTCTTCTTAATATCTACAAACGTGTTGATAAGAAAGGTGGAAAGGATTCTAAAACAAGAGGCTGTTGTGATAGCGTATCCATTTCAGAATTGGACTAAGATTTTCGCGTGGTAAACGTTATCCGGTATGAAGCGTGCTTTCGAGTGAACATGGCAATGACGAAGGCCATGGGTCGATAGAGAACAATGGTGAAGGGTCAACCAGCTAGCTCAAGGTCAATTAGAAGGCGATCGAACCACCCACTTTTGACGTTTCACATCATATCATGAGGTGCCACAACAATCAGTGTAAAGCAATACGTTCGTAATATTATCAATAATACTTAAGCACTGTCGCTCACCAATCTGGTAATTTGAATCACTGTTTCAGGTTGAACTGGTTAAAATCTGTCTTTAAGGATATCAAAACAATCGCAATTCCAGGCTCTAGTGCAATGTAGTGCCGCACATATGTATACACGCTTCTTCTATTCTTCTTCTTCTTGGCGTTAATCCCGCGTCGTCGCAGGGTCCGCTGTTCTTGTCAGCTGTCTTCACTTCTTTACGTCTACGGCGTCTTTAGCCGTTACTTTAGCTCCGGCAAGGTTCTTCTTGATCACTTCCCGCCATCTCTTCTTTGGAGCTCCTCGTGCTCGCTTACCCTGAGCTTCGAACTCCTTTGCCTCCCTTATCAGATCATTCTGTGGCCTCCTCAGTACATGTCGGAACCATCGCAAAGGCTGCTCTCTAATCTTCGACAAGACCGGGACTGTTTGCATAGCCGCCCTAACGTCTTCGTTTCTGGTCCGTCCAACCGCCGGCCCATCAGCATTTATATTAGGTCGTGAAGAAAGTTTTTGCGTTTTTTGACGCCTAGTTTTCAACTGCTCGCCCCGGTGTTATTTTCTATTAGATTTTTTGCAGGTTTTATATCATTCTGAAGCGCATTTCTTGCTCTATCCAAATATATAATCGGTTTTTCCCTGGAATAATTCCTGGGGTTTATTAGAAGGTCGAAATCAGCATGGACAAACGACAGATCCGCACGATTTTTCTTTTCCAATTCAAAATGGGCAGGAGTGCAACGGAAACGGACCGGGATATCAACGATGACTTAGATCTAGGTACGACGAATTGACGCACAGCACAGTGGTCGTTTAAAAAATTCCGTACCGGCGATGAGAGCCTTGAAGATGATGAGCGTAGTGAGCGGCCATCGGCCGTTGACAACGAATAATTGAGAGCGTTAATGGGAGAGAATCCACGTACAACGCTGAAGGATATTGGCTCGAGATTGAGTGTTTCTAGCAGGACGGTCGGCACCCACATGCGGGAGATCGGGAAGTCGAAGAAGCTCGATAAGTGGGTGACGCATGAGTTGACTCAGCACTAGAAAGACCGCCGCTACGAGCTCGCCTTCGCCTTGCTTCTGCGCAACAGGAACGATCCATTTCTAGACCGTATTGTGACGTGTGATGAGAAGAGGATTCTGTACGGCAACCGGCGACGATCAGGCCAGTGGCTGTACAAGGATCAAGCCCCACGACATTTTCCCAAGCCGAAGCACCATGGAAAGAAGGTCATGGTGCTGGTTTGGTGATCTGCAGCCGAGCTGATCCACCACAGCTCCATGAATCCGGATGAAACCGTAACAGTCGAGAAGTACTGACAAGAAATTGATGAAATGCATCGAAAACTCCGGCTCATGAGCCCAGCACTGGTGAACAGAAAGGGTCCAATTCTACTCCACGACAACGCTCGGTCCCACGTCGCACACCTTACCCTGAGAAAATTGATGGAGCTAGGCTATGAAACTCTCCCGCATCCACCATATTCCCCAGGCCTTGCCCCCACAGAATACCATTTCTTTAAACATCTCGACGGCTTTCTCAAGGAGAAATGCTTCAAAATTAAACATGATGCTGCCGCGGCATTCGACGATTTCATCTCCTCTAGATCTCCGGAATTCTACGCGAATGGGGTAAACTAACTTGTTTCTCGTTAGCAGATGTGTGTCGATAGTAATGGTTGTTATTTCGTTTTATGAAGTTTTGTTTAAGCCGAGATATGTACATTTGAAGTTTGAGGCGCAAAAACGCAAGAACTTTCTTCACGACCTAATATTTCAACGAAATGGAACTGTTACGCATGATTTCTACTTACGGGCCGACACTCGCTGCCGTATAGCATCGTGAGCCGTACCACGTTGCGAAACACCTTTCCTGGAGCATCGACGGTTGCAGAGGATACCGATGGACTCTCCACTTCATCCATACCGCGTTAATTCGGGATTTTACGGCCCGGTCTACGCTACTGTCACCGGCTAGATCACTCCCCAGTTATCGGGAGTCCTAAGCCTTGGCTTCCCGAGATCATCGACGATTATCTCAGTGCGCTCAGGCACTTGGTCTTCTTCAAGTTCAGTCGGAGCTGGCTCTCCGCCAGCACTTTCTGCCATTTCTGCAGCTTATCCTGGAGTTTTTTTTTGTCTCCGCTATCGGAGCGATGTCATCAGCGTAGAGGATGAGCTTAAGTAGTCTATCCATGAGTTCCTCTGTGATGACGTCCATTGTAAATAGGAACAGGAACGGGCTCAGAGCTGGTCCATGGTTTACTCCAACACTGACATCTATTGCTCCGGTTTAGCCGCGTGAGATGCGTATTTCTGTCGTGGAGCCATCGGACTCGTCCTCGACAGGGGAGATCATTTGTTCAGGAACGTTTCGTTTTCGGAGCGCTTTCTAAAGGACTTGTCGCGGTAGACGGTCGAATGCCTTATACAAGTCGAGGAAGGCTAAGTAGCAGAGTCGACGCTTTTCTCGATACTTCTCCACCACTTGTCCATCTGTAAAGATGGCATCCATTGTAGATCTTACAAGCAACTGCTCCCATGAGATCGTGGCCATTTCTCTCAATCTTGAGTTGACCATCTCGTAAAGTTTCATCGTGTGAGCGATCACCTGATTCCCCGATGGTTGGAACACTCTATCGCGTCCCTTTCCGCTTGGCGATGGGAACGATAGCATTGCTCTTCCACGCATTTGGGATTATTCCTTTAGTGGTCACAGTGTTCAGAGATCGGGTGAGCCACTTCATTCCGTGCTCTTCGAGCGTCTTCTATGCCTCGATTCTCAGTTGAGGAGCCTGTCGGAGTACTCATTCCACCTACGCCTAACCTTACCAGGCTTCCTCAAGATTGCATCCTGTTCTTGACGGTCTTCACTACCTCGATGTCCTGAGTAGCTCGGTGACGCGCTTTCGCTAGTCGAAAGACGAGCTTCCCTGTTTCTAGGCCTTCAAATTTCTCATACAAGGCATCCATTTCTGTATTCTTTGCTTTGCTACAGCAGCCTTGGCAGGTCTCTTGGAACTTCCGTATGCAACTAGGCATTCTGGAGCTCGTGTCTTTTGGCAGCGCTCGAAGGCCGACTTCTTCTGCGTGGCAACTTGCTGGACATCATCGTTTCATAACCATGCCTCCCTGTCCCTTGGGAGTCCACCTCGAGTTTCCTCCAGCGTTCCCCTTGCACGTCGTAGGACGATCTTCACGGTGTTGCTCCAGGTGTGCTCGATCGGCCCTTCAGGATGTGGAATTCTACCTTCTAGAATCTTCTCCTTGAGATCTTTCTTCCAACTCGATGCAGCTTCCTCCATTCCGTTTTTTTCCTTCTTTTCTTTGAGTAAGATCGGGCTATGTTTGCTAGAAGAAAACTGAGCTGTGAAGCCAGATCTTCTCCACACAGTACTTTTATGTCCTCCACCGTTTTGAGGAATGTCCTCCTTACTAAAAAGTGCTCTAGCTCTGCTTCTTTCTCTCCGCTGCTGTAGGTAATTACTGAGTTTTCCTTTTCACAAAGGTGCAGCATACTACCAAGTCATGGGCTGTGACTGGGACGAGGACCTTTCTTTTTTCCGCTCCTGACTCTCCTTCCCTTGCCTCCTTGAATCCTCTCGAAGTTTCCTCATTCAATTCCAACGTGGCCATTGAGATCACCCGCTACTATGAGGTAGTCCTCGCCGGAACTGATCGGATGGCGTCGTCGAGGCCCAGATAAAACTCGTCCTTTTCGACGACGGGGCAGCCGACCTTTGGGGCATACACGGATTTTATTGTCCAGTACCCCTCCTTTGTGTCTATCTTCACGGCCATGATTCGACTGCTGATCCTGCTGAGACAGAGTCTTCAAAGGATTTCGCTTTGCTATGACTACACCATTTCGTTTGGTGCCTTCTACGTTGTGGAAGAGCTCGACACTCTTTCCGAGTTCTCTGACCTTTGAACCTTTGCAGCAAAGGCATGGCACTTGGATGGTCCTGCACCTCATAAGATCAGTGACCTTACGGGACTATCCGGTAAGCGATCCCACATTAGTGTCCTGATTCGAACTAACCTCTTAGGCTGAGGTCGTCCAGTTCCCGGCAGCCTTCATGTAATGTCCACAGGACTCGGGCGGGAGTCCTGCGCGCAACTTCCAGGTGACGTCCTAGCTTTATCACTGATACCATTCGAGGCTTCAGATACCATTATTGTGACTAGGTTTATCCATGAGCCGAACTGTCAACCTGGTCTGATGCTAGTACCGATATCATACCAAGCCTACACTCTAATTCGCTCAGCTGTCCTTGCCTTGTATACATGCTTAATACATAATGGGAACAGGGTTTCAATCGGAGTGAAGGCTTACGATATCGTTATCTACACAGGTAATACTGTAGGTGTGTGAGAGGCTCGATCTTCAGCTTTTCCAGAGATGGAGGCGAAAAATTGGAAAAGATAAAAAATTCACTTGCTGGAATCTTCACGAACAGAGCTTCCTGATGATCTCACTTCCATCTCGAATGCAGTGCTTTATATAAAATTATGACGAAGCGACAACTTGCGAAGGATTAATACGACTGTCGCAAGCCGTCGGTTTACCACAAATTAGTAGCATAGTTCCGAAGCTTAGCGGGAGGCAACGAGTGACCTGTGAATCCTCGAAGAACATTGAAAGGTCAATAGTGAAGACAAAGGACGAAGATGCTCACCTTCCTGTCACTACGGCCCTTACAGTCTTGAAATACGCCTCAGAGACTTGGACTCTACGAAAGCAGGATAAGCATGCAGTCAGCGTAACTGATCAGATGAACACCAGGATGGCCGCCAGCGCGATGGTCAGAATTCTTAACGAAAACCTCACAAGGAATGTTTTGCTTTGCTGAATGCTTGAGCGAGGACGATCTACTGTATTACTTCTGCTCGCTGAATGAAAACTTTACTCGCGCCGTCACGAGAAAATAATGACTATCAGGATGACAGTGATACACTTAACTTCACAATTTGATTTACCTATTCAATGCTTATATGAATCGATTTTTACGCTATCTGCCATTTAAGGACGTGTGATTGTGGCACTGTTCCGATTTTAGAGGGAGTCTATTGGTTTTGCTGATTCTAAGAGAAAGGGCAGGGGTTAGCAGTCAGTAAATCAAGCGAGGTACTTGCATAGACGAGTGATCGAGGGAGGGGGGTACAAGAAGTGTCGGAAATGTAGTGCCTACTCCTCTAGAGAACCACACTCAAATGTCCTTCCAAGGTAGCCGAACTGCAACAATCCGGTCGTCAAATGCTGATCGTCTCCTCAGGGGCTGTAGCCTTCGGTCGACAAAAGCTGCGACAAGAGCTCGTTATGAGTATGAGCATGAGACAGACGCTGAGGTCGGCTTTACCTCGACGAGGGGTTTATGAAAAGTAGAACATTAGCGAACTAGATCATTTTTTAGAGGTCCAGCTGGAATCACTGCAGATAAACGTGCTTGTGCTGCTTCCGGAATGCCTGGACTTATGTCGCTTTACGAACAACTTTTCCAACAGTATGGAATTACAGTGGCGCAGGTGAGCTCGGAAAAAACCAAAAAACATTCTACACAAGAATTTTCCTAATAGATTAGTAATATGTAGGTGTAGTTTATTCCTGGGACGGAACTCCAAGCCAGAGCATTCACTTCGGATCGAGTTGAAGCTGCTTTACTCTTGCTTGAAAGCTTGTTGCCCTTTTTTGATACCTCCAAATGAGAGTAATCAGTGAAATATGAAGTACGAAAAGGCTCAAAAAGACTGCATCATGAATGGTACTAATCATGCATGTCGGCACCGAGTCTAGCCTACAAGAGCAGTATTGGTGCTGGGCAAACTATTGAATTTTCCATTCTCGAACACCGGAATCCATTCTCGAAATGGATGTTTTTTGAAATGAAAAGTTTTTGTGCACCAAGTTTGGACCGGGCCGAGTGACAGCGTTGACAAAGGAGGCGAAACACGCCAATACATCAATGGTGCATTTGCGAGCTGGCAGACTCATTTGCTCTGTTGTCTTCGAAATTGAGAGAGCACTCTCTTCTCGTGGGGTGGACCTGACGTGAATAGCTTGTTGTTAGGATTATTCCGGCGTCAAGTTTGTTACTCTAAGTTGCAATCAGATAAGAGCCGGTTCGCTTCAAGTACAGAAGGCAACACTTCGGGAAATCCCGGAGCCCTTCCAGGCATTACGGCGAGTTTGTTAAAGGTCAGACAAGATGAATTTTCCATCATAAAATTACGATCCGATAGGGATCATTTATTTTTCGCAAAACGAAAATGTGCAATCATCTGACGTAGGCACAGATGGTTATATATTTACAATTTCTCTCGATCTTGAGTCGACCACTCGCTCGCACAGTTTCATCGTGTGAGCAGTCAAACTGATCCCCCGGTAGTTGGATCACTCCATCGCGTCCCCCTTCTGCTTGAAGATGGGAATGATAGTACTCCTCCTCCACGCGTCTGGGATTCTGCCTTCAACGGTGACGGTGTTCAGAATCTGGCGAGCCACTTTATCCCCTGCTCTCCGAGCGCCTTCCATGCCTCAATCGATATTCCATCCGAACCAGTTGCTTCCCAATCTTTATCTTCCCCATTGCTCTACGCCCCTCATTCTCTGTTTAGAGATTGATGGGGCCAGCCGTTGCCTCTAATTGGGAGCTGTTCTTACGGGCGAATTCTTTGTTGAGGAGCCCGTCGAAGTATTCCTTCCACCTACGCCTGACTCACTAGGCTTCCTCAGGATTGCACCCTCGCTGTTCCTGATGGTCTTCACTACCCCGATGTCCTGAGTGGCGCGGTGACACGCTTTCGCTAGTCGAAAGACGAGCTTCCCTGTTTCTAGACCTTCGAATTTCACATGCAAGGCGTTCATTTCCGTGTTCTTCGCCTTCGCGACAGCAGCCTTGGCGAGCTTCTTGGAAGTTCTGTAGGCAGCTAGGTCCTCTGGAGCTCGTTCTTTTGCCAGCGCTTGTAAGCTGATTTCCTCTGCCTCGGAACTCGTTGGACTTCATCATTCCAGAACCATGCTTCCTTGTCACCTCGGAAACCATCTCGAGTTTCCCCTAGCGTTTCCTTTGCACATCGTAGGATGACCTTCACAGCGTTGCTCCAGGTCTGCTGGGTCGGCCCTTCGGGATTTGGAAGTCCAGCTTCTAGTACCTTCTCTTTAAGGTGTTCTCTTTTGAATTGGTGCAACTTCCCTCACCGGATCCTCCGTTCCGTTCTCGTCCTTGATTTCTTAGTACGATCGATGGCTATGTCTGCTAGAGGAGGTCTGTGCTGTGGACACAGATCGTTTCCGGGCAGTACCTTGATGTTCTTTACAGTTTTGAGGGACGATCTTCTCACTAGCACATGATCTACTTCCGTTTCTTTCCCTCCACTGCTGTAGGTTGCCGTCTGAGAATTCCTTTTCGCGAAGAAGGTGCTGCAGACTGCCAAGCCGTGGGCTCTTACCAGGGCGAGGACTTTCTCTCCTTCTTCGTTTCTGACTCCTACTCCTCTACCTCCATGAACCCCTTCCAGTCCCCTCCTTTCACTGCAGACGTGCCCATTCAGCACCTGCTATGGTGAGATAGTCTCCCTCCGGAACTGTTCGGATGGCCTCGTCAAGGCTCAGATAGAACTCATCCTTTTCGTAGGCGAGGCAGCCGGCTTGGGGTGAGTACACTGATATAACTGTCCACTACTCCTCCTTCGTGTCTATCCTCACAGCCATGATTCGACTGCTGATCCTTTTGACAACGGAGACAGAGTCTTTCAGAGACTCTGTCACTGCTATCTCCACACCATTTTGTTCGGTGTCTTCTCCTTTGTAAAGATTTTGACGCCCTCTCCAATTTTTCCGGCCTTTGCTCCCTTCCAGCTGGTCTCCTGAAGGCATAGGACTTGGATATTCCTGCGCTTCTTAAGATCAGCGACCTCCCGGGACTTCCCAGTAAGCGATCCCACATTTAGAGTCCCTATTCGAGCGAACTTCTTTGGCCGAGGTCGTTCACTCCTCGGTAGCCCTCTCATACTGTCCACAGAAGTCAGGCGGGGGTTCTGTGCGTCACTTTCGAGTGACGTCCTAGCTTTATCACTGATACTCTTTGAGACTTTGGACATGATTGTTGTTACTGGTTTCTCCATGCTGTCAACGTGGGCCTGACGCTGGTACCGATACCATATCTGCAATTTTTTGCAAAGCATGGAGCTGCCTCAGCAGGGATCGGACTCGCACTCCCTTGAAGTGCAGACGTGAGCCTACACTCTTATCCACTCGGCTATCCCTGCCTTCTGTTCCCTGTGGTATACAGCATTACAAGCTCTAAAGGCATTCTGAGATAAGCTATGAATTTGCAGATTTATATTTAGCAACTAGCTGTTTTATCTGAAAAATTTAGCTGATCATGAAACATTTAAGGTTTTGCTGACGAAGCCAGACATTGACGATCCACAACGGCGAAAGAACTTGCAGGCAACAATTGAAAGCCTTCTCTTGCTTAATATTATTCCTATTGTAAATGCCAACGACGCTGTTGCACCGGATCCGAAACTGAATATGGTAAGAGCTTCAGTGCGAAAGACTGCTAATTGAACTTTCAAAACTTTTTGAGTATGCTGCTGGTGACCTTTTCCGTATACATATCATTGGTAAGTAAGTGTTTTTCTCGGTAAATTCCCAGCACTTGCTTGTTTTTTTATTTATTTATTTTGATGCACGCAGGGTTCGCTCAAACGAACAAAGCGGGTAAAACATCAACGGCATAAACGAATGCGGATTGCGGTAGGGATAAAGCCACTTCCAGAGAGCATGAAATATGTACATACCATGCGGCTACGCACGCTACTGCGTGCGCTAGGGGCATCAAGCAATGAGGGCGGAGCCGCATGAGCTTCTGAACTTCATTATAGACCTTTATCATCTGAGCCTTTCCCCTGAGACTTCTGTAGCGGCCATCACTTTTTTTGGGATGTCAAATGGGACTGTGTGTAGCCATGAAGAGTACTCCTATGTATCCAAATCAAATACCTCTGCAGTCCATGTAGTCGAAGAAGCCCTGTGTAGTTTGGGCTGTGTGTGGCCATAAACACTAACTTTGAAAGGAGAGCCCCTTTGGGTAGTTGTTGGGTTTTACACGTCTCTACAGGTTATACACTTGTGTGGCCGTTATTGTTACTGTAGAATTTATCTTATGAGGTCTGAAGTTGATGTAGTGCATTTGCTCTTGCTTAGAAAGGACTACTCTGTGTGGAGCAATGGATACTAATTTTTAGAAAACTTTCAGCCCAATTTTTGGAAGAGTTAAGTGGTATCTCCTA